CCCCAGGAAGGACCCCTATTGAAATTGGTAAAATTCGATCAAATTTAAAATATATTTCCAATATATATTTTCGTCCAAATTGGACAAATGGGAAATCAAGCGTGATAGTGTGATTTCTTTATATTTGGCTGGAAAACCACAAGTGGCTATCGTTAGAGCACTCCAGCATTTAAATTTGAATAAATCTTTTGTGCCTCGTAGCATCACTCGTTACCGTGGTACTGGTAGCGTAGTCCGACGTCAAGGAAGTGGACGGCAGAAAACAGCAACAACAGCAGAAATGGTTCGAAAAGTAAAGAAGCGACTTGATCAACACACGAGCTGAACATATCGCAATATTCCATTTGATAAATATGGAAAACTGAGCTCGGGGTAAAGCCACTGAAATTCCAAAAAAAAAAAAAATGCAAGAAATCACACGGCAACTTTCTTTCTGACACTAAAGAGCTAAAGAATTGCTTCGCTTGTCCGAAAGTGGTTAACTGCCGAATTTGGGTTTCTCCGATAAGAAAACATTCGTTGTCGTTCGTTGTCAAAACATCCACATATAACTTTCTCCAATTTTATATTTATTGTGCATCAAATGTGTAAAATCAGCCCAAATTGGATGGGGTTTTTTGCACACAATGCATATTTTTTAATACAATCCTTCTCGAAGTCATCTGATGCACTCCATGGCAATGTTATTTGGTACGAGGATTACCTCCTTGAAATTCGGAGGAAATCGATTCAGAGTTGGTTATACCTCCCACATCTTAATTTCTTTCTGATTCCAAATTATAACTGCTCTAAAGCCACAATACGCATTCAAAAATGGTTAAGTATAATATGCTGTATAGTATCGTGAAAATAATTAAATTTCATATGCACTAGATGATTGCAAAATAGAACAAAGAAAAAAGCTGTAAATTCGGCCGGGCCGAACTTTGAATACCCTCCACCATTTGTAACGAATTTAGCAATTCTCAAAAACAAACAAAATCCGTTAAAAATCAATTTTAGAGACTATACGACGACATGGACCAGCATAGGTAACTTTTATCATAAGCCATTATAGTAATTAGATGCGGAACTTAAAAAAATCGGTGAATAATGTAGCAAAATCATACGAAGACATGGACCTGCACAGACAATTTTCTGTCTTAGGCTGTAGTCTCCATTACGAATTTCATATACCAAGTTTGAAATAATTCCGGTGAATAATGTCGCTAAAATCATCAAAATACCGACTATCGGGGGTACCGTTATATGGGGGGCTATACCAAAACGTAGACCTACATGGCCCCTTTTTATACCAAAAGTCCTGCAGACATTTGTGTAAAATGGTATCAATCTACTTCATTTTGTTCGGAACAGACATCTGTCCGTCCGGATAGACGGACGGACATCGCCAAATCGACATAGAATTTTATGCTGATCAAGAATATATATACTTTGTGGGGTCTAAAATGTATATTTCGAGGTGTTACAAACGGAATGACAAATTTAATATACCCTCCATACTATAGTGGAGGGTATAAAAAAGGGAAAGAATGTCGTTGGGGGCATGTCATTGGAAGTAATAACTTGCCAAACTGCCATCAATGGTGAAGAATGTAATTAAAAGAAGCTTTCGTTCTATTTTAGAAAACTGGGGTTGAATTTCCCTGCAACTGCATTTTTATGTTTGCCGATGGAGGGGCTAAACTTGCGATATTCTGAAAGATGTGATCATCTCAATCACTGCAACGTTCAACGATCGGAAATTTAAACCTGGATCTGCAGTTGAATGTGTAGTATCAGACAGGAAAATAATTTGCCTTGAAAATAGTACAGGAATAAATTATCATGCTTTCACTTACCAGTAATGCAGAAGCTCTGCTATGTCGTTGTTTTTAGCCTCTTGGTAACGTTGAAGTTATGTTCGTTCTTGTTTTGACAATATTTGAAACGGTCTATCACATCTGAATTATGAACTTCGTTTGATGGGCGGAAGATATAAGTGCTCGTCAATAGGGAGGAAGGACGCGTCAAAACTATTGCAAATATTCATGACATCCGTTCTTTGTAGCCTTTCAGTTTCGTTTTCAGTTTCCATGCAGACAGCCAGTTTCATTGTCAGTTGGTTTTTCATTTTTTTTGTCGGTGTCGGTTTGCAACAACATTTTCAAGGAGCCACGGAAAGAATAGTCCGTTGTTTGCATTAATTCGATACAAGTGAATAATTCTCTCCTTCCGTAATGGCCGTTTGGGGTTTCCTGTTTTCTTTTTTTCTCCTGTCGTAGACTGAATAAATTTTGTTTATCAAAATGCCAAAAAAGAAAACAAAAGTTTTGCATTTTGATTCTCGTTCTCTTTCAAATAGAAATCTATATATATAAAAGAAAGTTGTGTTAGTTACTACGCTTATAACTTAAGAATCGCTGGACTGATTTTAACGATTCACACAAATTCGGAATTGTCTCCTCTCCGAAAAGGATAATATCCAAAAAAATCACGTAAAAATGTGATATATTAACATTTTCATTTTGACTTTTGAAATGTACAATAGTAATGTTTTATTTTGCATGATTTTTTTCCATTTTGACTTACTTTTTTCTAATGTACATTTGTAGTGTTTTTTATATTTTATTTTTGAATTTTTATTTTGAATTAATTGACTTGATTTCTTGAGAACTGATATTGATGGCGGGTTACACGGAAGTGTAGTGCCGAATTATGTGGTGGCGAAATGGAATATCGAAATAATTGAACGCGGTCACACCAAAGTTAAAGATAATTACTTTTTCAAAATCGCTAAAAAATCACAAAAAAGAGATCTCATTGCAAAAATTCTCAAATCGGAAAAAAATCTAAAAAAAAATCATTGGAATCGAATTTAAAAATAATAGTACATTCTATTGACAATCTTTACAAGGATCTTTAAACATTTGCTGTAAAAATTCAGCGAACAAGTTGAAGATTTTTTCAATTTGTATTATCTTATTGAATTCAATGGAATTTTTTGTGAACAAAATAAAGAATAATTTTTCAATCTATATAATTTTTACCAAAAAATTAAATAAGTGCGAAATACTATGTAAACTGACATCTACCTTTCAACTCCAGGGCCTACACCGTTTTTCAGCTGGAAGATGCGAACACATTTAAACAAACAAAAATGACCGAAAAAAACCTAATGGGGCTCATTTCAAAGCCTGGACCTACTTCTTTCATGTGACAATAATCCGTCCAATGAGAGCTCAAAATGCAAAATTCTTTGGGAGTGCAATCAGTAAAATACCAAATATAAAGGGTGCAAAATAGTAGAGCGAATGGGACTTTTAGTAAGAAAAGGATTTATATCCTTTCCAAACATTCAATATACCTTAAATCGCTTTTGCAGGTCATGATATCGATCATAATTCTCGGATAAGGGTACAACCCTATTTAACCCATATTTATATAACCTCCGTATGATTTAAGATATTTTTGCGGTCTTGGCCACTTTTTTCTTTGTTTGGCCCTTATTTGGCATCTTTGTTTCTAAGGGGTAGAGAACCTCTTCGCATAAAATTTGAAATTTTCAGAATAAGGTCAATATTTGTCTTGACCACATTCATCAATTGATTTGGCTAAAAAATTGTATTTATGCTACTCTGGGGTGGGGAACCATCATACAGAGTGCCACATAGGAATTTATTTAAGTAAAGTCCCCATATTAGAGTATCCCCAAGTCCACTTTCACATCTAATGTGTGGTCAGAAAAGAAAATATTGTATTCTATTGAATTTGTGACCCCCAGGAGAATATTGGTTAGGAACGTATATTTGGGATGTAGATCTATATGAAATAATTTGTGAAAACATGAACAAATTACAAATATAAGAAAGTAGCACGGGACCAAATATTTGTTGAGTCGTCACTGAATTATACTATGATGAAAAATATGGTCTTTATGGGGTCTCCAACTTACAATTTAAATGGCAAATAAAATTAATTCCCATCTTACGGTAATGGGTGTAAAATAGTAATTATATTTGACTATTCTGAAATCATTCTGTCCTCATTTATGAGGTGGATAAAACTATTTTTACTTATTTAAATCACTCGAATTTTTCAGTTTGACATGCTATGCTGTTCCGCTATATTTTTAATTTGGCCTCTATTTGTCATCTTGGATTATAAGAGGTAGAAGAAAGTTTTCAATATAGGTCGGAGTAGTGCCCATATAAAGGTACCTCCTGATTTTACCATATTTCTAAGGATTTGGCTAAAAATGTGTATTTGCGGGGTGAAAATCTTACACAAACATTTCAAGATATCTACAAAATTTTAGAATTTTCTCCATGTAATAGTACCCCCTCAAGTTCACCTTTTGGTGGACAAACAGACAGACATGGTTAGTGGGACTTATGAGGACTCTAATGCACAATGTAAGGTGTTACTGGGTTTAAAAAAGTAATTAACTTTGGCTATTCTTAAATCATTCGGCCCTCAGTTATGAGGTGTAGAAAATACAGTAAATTCCAAATTATTGCTCATTTGACTGGAAAATTTTGCTACGATTTTTACCATACTAAAAATTAATTTAATCCCTTACATGGGGATACGATTAATATATACTTTTTAATAGATTTGTACATCCACACATTTGAAGCCCTCGGTTTAAATATGAAAGCCCACGGCTTAAATATAGGCACAGGTATTTCAAAACACTTTTAATCGACCAGTACGTGAACACTTATATCAGTCATATCAGTGAATAATTATGCTTGGGAAAATATGCATAATAGACAAAAACTACGGGCCGGCAACGCGGACCGGGCCAGCTAGTTTTGTATAAATTTGAATAAAAATAGTATTCCATTTTGGCTTTTGCTCAGCCATGTTTTGGTGTTAAGTCGGCCGGGTCGTTTCCCTTTTGAATTTGAATGCAAAAATCATAATTTTGAATCAAACAAAGAAACTTGTTTAAGCAGGCGACGACCCGTTTCTGTGTGTGCTTTATTGAAACGATGTTTCTTTTCTTTTTTTTTTAGAAAATTTAAATAACCAAATTTTCAACAATAGCTAAGTGGAGAACACAAAAGTGATAATAATTCGCCACGAAAAATAAATGTTATCCAGAAGAGTTAAATACAATTGTGGAATATAAAAAAATTGGACAGTCTTCAGAGAAGAGAAAACAATAAAACCATATTTGAGGTAAGTTTTTTTTTTTTTTTTTGATAACGAATTATTAAGCGCTTTAGTTTTTTGCTAAAGAAGTAGAAGAATATGAATTGAGGGAAGCGTGAGATGAGCTGAGGTTCCTTTTTTATTATCGGGTGATGGGTCAAATCAACACTGAAATTAATTTTGAGTAGTTTGAATAATCAAAATGCTATCCCCAAAACTCGATATTTTTATACTCCCAATATCATGGAGTCAGATGGACAAGTCGTAGTCGGGCACCACGGAATAAAAAATATTCATATTTTTTTTAAGGTATTTCGATAATTTTCCATAAAAATAGCAGAGGTCGACAATGTTCTTGGAGAATTTTTATACTCCCAATATCATGGAGTCAGACGGACAAGTCGTAGTCGGGCACCACGGAATGAAAAATATTCATATTTTTTTAAGGTATGTTCATAATTTTCCATAAAAATAGCAGAGGTCGACAATGTTCTTGTCCGCATTAAATTGAAGAATGAATCATTCATCTTCATTTATTTATTTATTGTTTATTTATTTTTTTTTTAATATTTTAATTTGCATATATGTGGAGAGGTATAGGACTATCTTACACCAAATTTGATACATCTATTTGTTCAAATTATGGAGGAAGTTTTGTATGGACGATATATGTCAAAAACAATATAGTGCTTGCGCTTGGAACAAATCAGTGTGACAATTATACGACGACGTGGACCTGCATAGGCAACTTTTGTCACAAGCTATTACAATATTCAAATGCGAAACTGGAAAAAAATCTGTTTATAATGTAGGTATAATCATCAAAATTCCGAATATAGGGAGTTGTAAAACGTGGATCTGCACAGACATTTTTTGTCATAGGCTGTAGTATCTATTACGAACTTCAAATGCGAAATTTTAAACAATTCCGGTAAATGTCGCTAAAATCATCAGAATACCGAATATCGGGAGGTACCGTTATATGGGGGCTATACGAAGAAGTGGGCCTACATGGCCCATTTTCTGTTTTATGCAGTAGTATCTATTACGAACTTCAAACGCGAAATTTTAAACAATTCCGGTAAATGTCGCTAAAATCATCAGAATACCGAATATCAGGAGGTACCGTTATATGGGAGCTATACGAAGAAGTGGACCTACATGGCATTTTACATTTTCTGTTTTATGCTGTAGTATCTATTACGAACTTCAAATGCCAAATTTTAAACAATTCCGGTAAATAATGTCGCTAAAATCATCAGAATACCTAACATCGGAGGGGGGTACCGTTATATGGGGGCTATACGAGGACGTGGACCTACATGGCCCATTTTCAATACCAAAAGTCCTGCAGACATAATACACATCTGAGTACAATTTTATCAACCTACTTCATATCGTTCGGAAGCTAGAGTGATTTCCAAAGACGGACAGACGGATAGACGAACGGTCGTTGATAAATCGACATAGAATTTTATGCTGATTTTATATACCCTCCATACTATGGTGGAGGGTATAAAAAAGGGAAAAATCGATTCATTATTTAAATTTCAAAATAAATTCTCGGTTAATAAATTCAATGTTACGAATTACAACAAAAGTGATTCGAATTACATCTGAACAAGTTAAAAAGAATTAGTCGGTTTTGACGGATGAATATCCTCATCTTCACAGGAGATATTGTGTTGGTAGAACTAATGGGATGTGTGAAATATGAAGAGAACCGGATTTTAATTTAAAACTTTGACCCTTTTTTAACAAATCTTGTGTTGGTAGAAATATTGAGATGTACCAAGTCTGAATGGAATCGGGTGTTAATATCTCGTTTTATGACCTGCATTGCATTGAAAATGTTGAACCTTTTGTGGGGGATGTACCAGAGGGAGTGATCCGATATATTCCATCTTCAAACCAGACCTTGGGTTAATAAAAATATTGTGAAGTGTGTAATTTGAAGTCAATCGAACTTTTATATCACATTTTATTAGAGTTATAATTTTTCCAAATGTTGACCCTTTATGGAGTAGACCGATATTGTCCACTTTCGCGCCTAACGCACCGATGGAAATATAAGGATTTGCAAAGTTGGAGCAAAATCAGATCATCCTTTTTCTTTCACCAAGTTTGGACGAAATCGGATACTCCCTTTGTGAGCACCAGCCAGCCAGACAGATGGACTGGTGGACGGACATCACTACATTGACTCTAAATTTTCTGAAACGGATTTGGTTCAAAGAGACCTAGGGTCTAAATTCGTTATTTCGATGAGGCACGTTTCGGCCGTATCAAGTGATATACATATACCCTCTCTAGCCATATGGCTGAGGGTATAAAAAGGTGTTGTGGAGATATGGAATACACTCCTTCCCACAAAGCGTCGAAATTTCGAATAATTATAACATCCATACATGCGATGGTATTCAGTGATTTTCCTAAAAAAAGTTATATCTATATTTGTGTTAACGATAGATGTGATGTCCATGCTTTAAAACTGAACTGTTAAAACCCTCCACCATTTGGAAGAAACATGGAAACTTTAAAAAATCCCAAGGCAAAATGCCTATGGGGCTATACGAAAACTTGGACCTTTACAGCCAATTATCTGTCAGAGGGTCTAAAATTTATATTTTGTGGTGTTACAAGTGGAATGACAAACTTAGTCCACCATACCTTGGTGGAGGGTATAAAATAGTGAATTTTTTTATTGGCTCTGGCATGCAGAATTTCATATATTCAGAAATCGGAGAGATGGCGATCGGTATAAATATACTGATTTTCGTTAATTTCGATGTTATCGTATTTGAGTACTCTCACCACTTACAGAATTCGACCTCAAAACAATCGTCCCACTCCAAACCAGAACTTGTTTCCCTTTTTAGGTTATTGTTTTAATTTTGAAAGCTTCTCCCAATGATTTTATTTTCAGTGACAAAAAATACTTCAAGAACTATTTTTAGTTTATTCGGGTGAACTTTTAAAATGAATGGAAACCGAAATAAACTGCCGAAATGTCAAAGTACAACTTTTTGCATAGCCCTGTGAACGATGAATCAGTAAATGTCTGTGTGTGTGCTTGTGCGATTGTTGTAACTTGTAACTTATTGCGAGTGGGTGGGAAAACGCGTTTGAATGGTAGTTAGAGGAATGCTGACGTACATATGTATAGGTATGTAGCGAGCATTGTGAGCATGTAATGGCTGTGCCTCAGTAAACATTGAGTCATGATAAAAACTCATAAAAGTGTCTCAATAGTTAAAGTAAAACAACAGTCATTACAAAAAGTTTACACACACACACACCAGCCTACACTAATGGTAGTTCATTAAACATATACATGTATACATGTGTGTTAGCATAAAATATGTACGCTTTTGTAAGTGTTTATGTTTAAATATTACTTATCCCTACATTTTGGTAAATTGAGAAAAGTAACAAAGATATAGGGGCATACATGTCGTAATGGTAACCCTATTATTTAAAGTATTTAAGAATATAAAAACTATTGCGTGCATTTTTGGGCCACAAAATATTTTCGATGACAGCAATTTCAGATATGAATTAGTTTACACAACTGCCGTTTAAAGTTCATAGAAAAATGTTTTTAAAATTTTTAGGCAACACAATTTTTTTTAAAAATAATTACTTTATCCAAAATATCACTGAAAAAATTCCTATAAAATAGCATTTATATTTTTTCTGATGTTTCTATTATATGTCGTATAAATATGCTATCGTAGGTAATCCTTAGTCTATGTATTACGCATGCTGCCTTTCTTTAAAAGGCTCCAATCACTTGCTTTTCACTAGGCCCCACCAAAATGCCATTTTTTGATTTATATTCTGAACACTTGGAATGGAAAATGTCATGTTTTGTCTGTTTGCACAACTCTTATTCTCTACGCAGGTTTTCGAACATCGCCCATATAACGGTTCCTCCCCATATCTGAGGTTTTGAAGATTCCAGTCACAATTTCCAATAAAATAATTTAAAAATTGTTATTTGAAGTTATTTCATTTAATTAACTTGATTCCTGTTTTACTTGTTTCTGACTCATGGTACAAAGAAGAGAAGGTAGGTCAACTTTGAAAGAATTGCAAGTATAGAGGTCTACTTGTTTGGCTTGTAATGTCAGAATTAGTATCAAAACAATTAAAATCAAACAACTTGTTGCATTTATTTTGAATAAATAATTGAAAAAACGCGATAACTGAATAAAAGGTCAACACTTCTTTTCAAAATCGTGTACTATATATCTCTAAAGGATTATTTCGCTACAAAAATTCTAGATTTTGTCGATGCATACGTTGAAATAAACATTTTGAAAACACCCGAATTTGAATATTTTCTGAACAATTTTTTTGTTATTGAAAAGAAAACACATACATAAACAAATAAAGATGACGTATTAAGCCAAGAAAATAAAAAATTAAAATCATATGGTATCATAGCCCTACCTTGATATCATTGTATCATGTTTCTGACTAAAATGTTCTTCGCATAACAATCATAATCTTGGCCTGAGAGAAAACATAGCCCATATATCGATGAAAATCGAATTTACTATGAACTAAAGAATTCAAAATTGCTTGAAATAAATTATATCTCTCAATGCTACACAATTCGTCAAGTCGAATTTTGCCCAAAGATTTGAAAAAAAAAAAAAAAACAAAAAATATATAGCTTTCAAGTTTTTTTTTCCAGAACCTGCATTATTGTACGATCTTACAAACTTTAACAGAACTTTGAAAATCTAGTAAAACTTTTGTAAAAAAACCGACTAAGCATTAAATAGTACCTGCATTATTCAAATTTTATTCCGTAGAATGAACATGTTTGTTTCTTTTTGGATTTAAAATAAAAATTGTTAAAAAAATGACAGAGTTAGAGTCTGGAAAAAAACGAATCGGTTGCATAGTTCTATATGCCCTGGTATGAGGGTGACCACATTACCAAACAGAATTGTTGGAAATATATTATTTGGCCCTCCTAATGGCTACAGTTTTTTTAGCAGAAAAGTTTCCACATA